GGTTCGGCGCTGGGCAGAATCCGGGGCACCGTCGAGGAGGGACCCGGCGCCGACCCAAGAAATCGGCGCGGACCTCCGACAATCCAATGCTCTTGAAGTCTGTTGTGGGGTGGTGCCATCAGGCGCCCGACAAGGGGGCAACGACAGAGGCGCGCAGAAGGGCAAGCGGCGTCCCAAGAAATCCGCGCGGGCCTCCCAAAGCTCACGCTCGTGCCACCCGCAGCCGTCGTGCTGCTGTGAGGACAGCCGGGTGAGGAACGAAGGGGCGTTCCCGGCCACGGCGAGCCTCGAGTCCCCTCGACCCGAGTGAGATTCACAGAGCGGCCCACAGACAGCAGCCCCACCTGAGCCCTGAGTGGTCCTCACCTCTCAGCGTCCTGCTTGTGTCCCATTTCCTCGCATGCTCGCTCCTGATTTCGCTCCACTCACGCGCCAGTGCTACATCGAGCGTCAGTCGACTTGAGTCGCATCGGAGTCGAAAACATCCGCCAAGTGCCCCCCAAATGCGGCTGGGGGGTCTGCACTGGTTGGGGCTTCCTAAAGATCGCCAGGAGGGGGGATGAAGCCGAATCCGCTCAAAGTCGGACCTTGAGCCCCTCCCAATGTCCACGGCGCAGTTGCTCACCCCAGATCCGTTTTTGACCGTCCTGGGACCCGAAAACGGCTCCTGGAGGCCGACAAGGGCAGAACCCTTCCTCGAACCAAGAGCCTCGACCCTGCCCGCCCTTCCTGCTGGGCAGAACTAGTGCTGGGCCACCTCAGACCCCCAAATGCCTCCACCCCAGGGAAGGTCCAGTCCAGTCCAGTCCAGAAGCCTTGCGCCGGCCAGCTCGCAGGTGGGAGCAGGCGGTCAAGGCATGGGCGGCGTGCTGAAGGCATCCGTTTCCGTGCACATTTTCACCCACTGCTCACGCGCAAGGAAGGTCCCCAACACTTTTTTCCGTCGCGGCGCGGCAGAGGTGATCCGCGCGCGCGTCGAGCAAATCTGGGCTGGGGCATTTGCGAATTGCCCCGCATGCAAGAGGGGGGGGAGGGGCAACAGAGGGCGGCCGAGGGACGGGGAGGAGGGGGGGAGGGCGCCAAGGGAAAGTCCCCAACACGAGCATCCAAATTCATCCCGCATCGGCCGGCGGGCGCACGGCTGCAGGGCGGTGCCCCTCCCAGGCCCGACCGCGTGCGGCACGCCCTCGGGGCCCCTCGCGTTGTGCAAGATGCACCTGGCGAGCACCCGCCGGGGAGCAACCCGTCGCTGGAACTCCTGCATTGGGGGGGGGCGCAGCCTCCTTCACCTCCTCCTCCTCCTCCTCCTCCTCCTCCTCCTCCTCCTCCTCCCTCGTCGTCCTCCTTCTTTTCCTCGTCGTTCTCCTCCTCCTCCTGATTCTCCTCCTTCTCCTCCTTCTCCTCCTCCTCCTTCTCCTCCCTCCTCGTTCTCGTCCTCGTCCTCGTCCTCGTCCTCGTCCTCGTCCTCGTCCTCGTCCTCGTCCTCGTCGTTCTCCTCCTCCTCCTCCTCCTCCTCCTCCTCCTCCTCCTCGTCGTCCTCCTCCTGCTCTTCCTCGCGCTCGGGCCCTCGTCGCCTCTGCGCGCCTGGTGTCTTCGGAGGTTGAAGGGAGAGTGAGGCCTAAGTGAAGCGGAGACTCTCGCCGGGAGATTGGTCTCGTTTTTTCGTGTTCGTGTCGCGCGTGGGAGAGACGCGACGCTGCATGCGCCCGCGAGAGGAAGGATCCTGCCGTTGCCAGGGCGAAGTCGGAGCAGCATACAGTAGGAGCTCGACCACAAGAAACCTTTCACAAGAAACCCAAACCTGAGACCCCAGGGCGTCCATTGACTTTTGGCGTGGGAACGTCACGCTTTCCATCGCAAAACTCGCAAACTTATCGAACCCAAGAAACCCAGGGCACCCTGGAGGCACGCAGGGTGTTCTTGGCATGGGCTGCCACTGTAACTTGCTATGCTATGACGAAGAACGTGTGATGGCAATGCCGGACGAAGCATACGCAAAGAGGCCACTGCAGCTGCGCGAAGTGCGTCGCCGCGTTCGCGTCGACCGCCTGGAGCACCCTCTGCTGGAGATCAGGAAACCCTCCGCGCCGGTGTCCGGGCAAATGTTTTCCTCGAAAGGGGCCTGCCGTCGCTCTCCGTCTCGCCGGCGTCGCTGGAGAAGCCGAGCTCGTCGGGCGTCTGCAGGACGCCCGCGCGCCCCGCCGAGCTCGCCTTCAGGCTCTCCTGCAGCACCAACCTCTAAGCACAACCCAATCAGTGACCGAGTGGCAGAGATGCCGACGAGCGGCAGAGACATCACTGAATACCTTCAGGTGCAGCTCCGAAGTGCCCTGCTCCGCGCTGAGGTGCTCCGCGGTGGGGCGTTTCCGCGACGGCGCGGTGCCCCGCGGCGGCGAGGCGCCCCGCGGCGAAGTTCGACGCCCTCTGCCTCCGCGACCAGGCCCAGCGTCGAGCCGCCCTCGAGCACGAGGCCGGAGAGGAGGGCAAGGCGTCTGAGCGG